TTACAATACTTAGCTGATTTCATTTGAGTATTGCTTGGTACTTTTCCAGTATAATTTTAATGTAACAAATGGTAGAGTTTCTTTGTCATATTGTGTATTGTCTGATTCCAGGCTAGATCTAGACAGCACTTACTGTACTATCTTTGGAGCAAGAAGTAATTAGTGCATGCTAAATTCACAGACTAGTTGAATGTGAGAACCTGGGGAAAATGGAAAACATTCTTAGATTTCATTGAGCAGAACTATCCTGTATTTTCTTCTGTTTTCTTCAATATGTTTAAAAATGTAGAGGCTATAATGTATCTATGTAATGAAGCCTAAGCTAAATTGACCCAAAGTCTTGAAACTACATCAGGACATAGGATGATTCAAAGAAAACGAATCCTGGTGAAGATTATTTGTATTTTGGAAAGAATCTGACTCCATGTCAAGCAGCCTGGAAGCGATGCAGAGCCAGCTTGTGTCTGCTCTCTAAATCCTGTGACCAGTTTGGGCTAGAACCAGACATTCTGAGGGACAATGCTTTCTTCTCTGTTTATAAGAGCTATTCTTTTTTCTGTAAAATTGAATTTATTAGAGTCCCATTTTTATGTATTCAACAAAGATAGCATAAAGATAAATGAAAGTGATATTTGTGTTTGGCTGCAAAGTCAAATCAAGGGTAGGGTTTAAATACAGAATTCTTTAAATCAAAGTCTTACTATCTTCTTCTACCTTGTTTTTTATTCATGTGATAGAAGTCCATTATGAGATCAGGTGTAATTGCAGATTTCTGCTCACAGTTAGGTGAGTTCTAGGTAACAGAGCTGTTTTGGGTTGAGATCTGATCTGAAACAAAACCTGGCAAACCAAGTTCGGATTTGAGAACATCAGTGGAACTAGAGATGCATACAATGTGAAGATGGAGATTCATGCAAGCTTATCTGAAATTAGAGGTTTTTTGTTATAAAAAATAAAAATTGGAAACCAGTAATGAAAAACAAAACATTTGTAAGCTCATTATTCTTACCTATGGAATACAAAATATCAGATTGTGCAAGTGTCACTTATGTTCCAAAGCACATCAGTGTTAATTTGATTAAATATGTTGAGAAACATTGGTTGCTTGGTTGATACACTGCTTATGTATAGTACACAAGCAATTACATGTGCTGTGTGAGTATTGTATACCAATATTTGTAGCCACTTGAGTACTCCACCATGAGATATCTGGATGCACGTTTTAGCACATTACAGAGAGAAACGTGTTTTCAGACTGCTACCCTGTTGGTTGTATTGGCATCAATTGCAAAGGTGAAAATGTTTGTTACTGTACATTTTGTTACTGTGGGCTTTGCAGGTGTTACGTGTACTTTTGCTGCTAGAGTTTAATGATTTTGTCTTGTGGAAGTTTTTTGTTTGATTTGTCACTCTTGTTTTCAATATTTGCAGCAGGGATTTCCTTTGTTATGCGATAGACTTTGTTAGACTTTCCTGTCTAAGAGCAGGAAAACTTGTCTTCTGTCAAAAGACAGATATGCTTTTCAAGTTTGTTCTGGCTTAATTCTTTATTTTATATATTTATTTATGTCCACTGTTTTTCCACATGATTTAATGCTGGCAATAGATTTTTTCCTCCTTGTTTTTTCTATCTTCCTGCCATGGGACTGTTGATTCAGCTGTGTGAGTCTGAAGGATTATACGTTTTAGGGAGTTGTCAATAAATGGAGTTTAGATGGTGTTGAATAGCACTGTTTCCTTTTCCACTAAAAGACAAACAGAATATCTTCAAATGCCCTTGTGTGTTAGGCTGTACCTCATGCATCTTTGTGGCAGTGATTGGAATGTGAATGTTAGTGGATTTTAAGCAGTTAGGGGAGATATAAATTATGTAGGGCTAGCACTGGTGTCTCATACCAAATGCTCCATGAAGGAAAATGGAATGCCAAGTTCATAAGAGCACATTTTGAACGTATTTGATTTAGTTCTTTGAGTTTGCTGTTGCTGTTCTAGATTGCTTTGATAGTAACTTAGAGTGGGTATCAGTGCAAAATACCAGTTAGTTTCCATGACCTCTCCTTATTTACTCTTCTGTCTCAATATTCTCAACAGATTGGAATCTGTGCTTAATATATTTTAGAGTTTGTCTGTATCTTACTGGTGCTATTATAATGAAGGATTAAAATGACTTCTAGAGTATACATGTTTTTATATTTTGACATGTATGTCCTAAGCACTGTTCTGATGTAGGCAGCGGAGCTCTGGTATTAGTAGTCCTCCAGGGTATCCACAGCTGAATCAGTGGTATGCTCTGCAGCAGCTGTTATCTGAATTAAATGTGTCAGCTGTACAAATGTAAAGAGCAGAAGTAAAACATAATTTAGTTGTTCAGAAACATGAGTATTTGTAGCCACAACGGAGTACCCATGTCATGGTTTTGTGTAAATGTGAAGAATTGCTCTGGGAAAAATGGGGGATGGTTGAGGGCTGTTGCCATGTGGGTGACTAATTAATCAACCCAGGGAGTCCATTCAAACTGTAGAAGTTTAAAATTTGCCAAGCTCTGGTAGAACGTACTGTTTTCCCTCTAGTTAAAACAATTTTCTTGTGAGAAAAAAAAACAAAAACAAACAAACAAAAAACCACCTAGATTTTTTTGGTATTCCCGTTTTGGGAATTTTAGGGCCATGTGTAGCATGACTAACTGTGGTTAGAGAAGTCTGTGACATGTGGGTGAAACTCTTATAGCATTTATATTTTCAGTATCCCTTGTTCTCAAAGAGGGCCATAAAATAAAATAAAGGAGCAAAGTTATCGTGCTGCATTCCTGGTCACCTGCCAGGGAAGTACTTTTAAACACCACAAACAGATCAAGGTTTTCTCTTTAAAGAATGATTCAGAGTGTTTTTCTATCTTCCCCTCAGTCTTATCAGTTGAGTCTAAAGGCCATTGACAGTGGAGCTAGACTGGCCATTGGATTGTGATTCTTTTATTCTGCAATCACACAAAGATTCATAGATAACTTTGTGTTGTATAAACCTGCTTTGCTGCTGGCAGGAATTTGAATAATTTCTAGTCTCACTGAAAAAGCAATCAAGAAGTTTGGTCTAGTGTTACAATTTCATAACATGAAAAATCTAAATTAATCAGTTTTAAAGCTAATTATGAAGCAGTTTCTTGTGTTCCTATTAATATTGTTACTTTGTTTATTCTCTAAACTCTTTAAGGCAAGGAAGTATAACTGAAGGATGCCAAAGTATCTGTCCATTAATAATGCTCTGTTGGTTAACTGGGAGTGTGTTTTGTCCAAGCAGCGTAACTCAATCAATACCTTTCTTGCCTGAGAGAGATGAGGGAGTCTCTGTGGCAAGCCAGCCTCCACGTACACACTTAAAAATATTCCAAGATTTTTCTTGTGTTTAATTGAATTTTGTGCTTCTGAGGCTGGAGAGAACAAGAACAGTTACCATTGTCAAATCCTGGACATTACCTGTGTGTTTAGGGTTCATTAGGGTTACCTGTGCTTGTGAAAAGAAAGTAATCTGGTCCACATGGGCAGGTCTGGGGAAAGAACTGCTGTTTCTCTGTCAGCCAAGATTCCTGCGATGGTCTTTGCAGGCACTTGGCACAGTTACATAGTAAGGGCTAATTTCTGCTTTACTCTTAAGACTTAGGTTCAACTTCTTTATGAATAAAAAATATTTTCTTTTATTTTACTACTTTATGTTTTCTACATAATATAATTTTCAGGAAATTTGCTGCTGTGATAATTAATTGATCTGTGAGTTAATTAGGGAATAGTGTATAATATTTTTTGTTGCAAGTCATGATAAATGAAATTTGGAGGTTGAACATTAGTACACTAAATAGCTATAAGGGTTGCTTTATTGTTTAAAAAGAAATCATAGGACTGAAAAATGTCTTGATACACATTGAAATTGATCTGTGAGAAACACAAGTGAAAACAATGCTGTTGGGGAATGGCCGTGATGTTGGAAATATAATTATACTGGGTAAGTGAAAGATTGTTTTATACCACAGATCGAGAATATTGGTAAAGATTCATACGTTCTGATACTTCTCAGTTGAATTGAGTTAATTCCATACAAACTTTTCTGCAGTGTGAGTAACCCATTTTGTGGGGTAGTGGTATTTGGTTCTGGTTGTTTTCTGTGCTGCTTGTTCAGCATTTATTGAGATGGTGTACAAGATTCCTTTTAAGATTTTTCAAAAAGTATAGTAAGAACTGTTGAGTCTCTTCAGAAAATGCAAAATCGGACTGAATTGAGGTTAGTGTTTGTTTATGGAAGGTGAAGCTTTCAGGGTAATACAGCAGGTGAATAGGTCACAGTGTTCAAGAGCAGCACTATTCGATTTGCAATTGGAGTGTAAAAGTGTAAGTTATACAACCAGGACTGAAACCCAGAGTTAGTTTTATTTCATAACATTTGAATGTTTAGAGATTTTGGGGGTTTTTTGTTATTAATAAAGGACACACCAACAAAGAGATTGATATCCTGTACACTCAGTGTTAGAATTAGAAACAGTCATAATAAAATGGAATTAATTTTTGGCTTCTGAAATAAAACCTGACTGATTTGCTGAGTTTGTTCTGGCTGTGAAATCTTTCACAGTGATGAAAATTTGTTGGTGAAAGGATTATTATTTTTATTATTATTATTTAAAGCCTCTATGAGCACACATATGCACTAACAGACCATTTCTGAAGCGGAAGGTGCCTCACTTTACTTTTCTTGGCAAATTAATCCAGAAATATTTTAACAGATTTCACATCTCTTTAAAAATTTTTTTCTTCTTGAATTGTAGTGTAACCAGCATCCTGACTAGATGTAAACTTGCTGTGAAATTTATTGTCTTTTTATTCGTTTTTCTTTTTTTAAACAGTTACTCAGTTCTTATGGGTCTGCACGTTTTAGTCCGACTGGATCAGTTGCATGATAGTGAACAGAACTTTATCGTGTTTAACTTGTGCTATTTACCTTTTTTTTTTTTCCCTATAGGTATATTCGAATTGTTGGGACTCACAACACAGTGAACAAAGTTTTCCATATTGTGGCATTTGAATGCATGTTCACAAACAAATCCTTTACTCTTGAGAAGGGTCTGATAGGTAAGAGATGAAACTGTTTTCCTTCTACATGAACTGTTGTGAATGCTTGTCTTTTAAAGCTGACCATCACTACACTCTTACTCCTGTTTCCACACAGAAATCTCTCATTTGAGTTAAACAATGCTGTAAGCACAGAATTAGCAGGGCAGTTCTTGCAACTTCTTTGAAATTCCAGTTTTGTGGATTAATTAATGATGCTGCAGGAATGCTGAAATTCAAATTACATCAACTGCTGCTGACAAAGCTACTGGTAATTGAGTCACTCTGTGCTGACAATCTAATTTTTTGTTGCATGTCATAGTATGGTTGCTCTTTCCTCCCACTCGGTTAGCCCAAATTCTTTTACAAGAATAGAGTAACTAGAGCTATTTATTGCAGTGAAGATGGATTTGGGCATTTAGGGACTCTTATACAACCTAGTTTCAACTGCTGAAAGTAAACTCTCATGTGTTGATTTTCCCCCAAAGAGTTGTAGACTTGCTTAGCCATGGCAGAACGTTATATTGGTTGCTGTTATTCTCAGAACACCATGTTGATGGAGCTCTGTTAGCTCTGGACAGCTTATATAATACTGATTTAAGTACCTTGACATTACTTAAGGTAGAAATCCCCAGCAGACCAACACTACTGAATGATAAAATATGTCATGGTAAGATCTAATTTTTTTGAATAGTTCAAACAGAGTGGCTTGTGTGCTTTCTTCCATTTATACTCATGAAAGTCAGATCTTCAAGTTCATTGGAAAGAGTATTATGTGCCTTTTAGTAGTTGTCTAGATGGGATTTTCCCCAGTTTATTAATTCTGGCATGAAATGGAGAATTTCAGCAAAATTCTCGGAGTTCATGCTGATTTTAAATATATAAAGTATGCACCTATGACAGATGGAAGGGAAAACAGTTTTCAAAATAGCATGAGACACATTTATTTTATTTTTTTCCCTGAGAAAACTCTTAATATTTACACAACCCTGAAGAATTTGTGGTGAAAAAGGTACAGTTGGGAAGATTTAGGGATTTAGTTGAGGGCAGTCAAGTTGGGAGCAGGGGCATAAGGGCTGTTCCACCAGAATTTATGGTTATCAGTATTGCCTATTCAAAAATATTTTTAACAACTTTGATCCATCAAAGTAACCTTATATCCATTTTGTTTTCCATCCTTTGTTTTCCATACCTCTGATGGTTACCATAAGGTACCATATTGTCTGGCTCCTGTGATCAAGCGGACTGTCCAAGGTCCACTTCTGTAAAAACTCTGTATAACTACCGGTGGTGTAGTTAGCACAGACTTATTTTATTGCTGTGATGAGAATTTGTAATGTTAATTTCTGTTTCTGCTTCTGCAGTGAACAGAATAGGGTAAAGTGAACTGAAGGCAGTTAGGAAAGTTCCACTAAATATATGAAAGTGCAGTATTCAGAGTAGGTTGTTTTTAAGTTGACTGAGTATAGAAGCTTTCATCTTCAACCATTGAGAAACAGTTCATTGGGTTCAATGCTTATCCCATATGATATTAAATATGGTATTAAATTAGGTTAGAACAAATACAGCTGCTGTTTCTATAACCTGTTTTATTAAAAAAACGAAATATTGGTCAGCCCTTGAAGGCCATGTGGCCCTTTTCAGAAAGACTTTGTGACCCTTACTTGTACCAAAACAACACTGAAGATAATATGCAGAGACTTTGCCGTTTGAAAACTCATTCCAAAGAAATAATGCCTCTGAGGTATTTGTTTAGGGATCTTATGTGGAGACTTCAGAATAATTTATTTTTTTTTGAAAGCTATCCAACTTGATCAGAAAGCTGTAGGCAAAGAGGATAATTTTTCAGCTATATTATTACTGATACTTAGTATCTATGTAATGGCTGTCACTGTAGAGTGAAGATTAGAGGGCTGGTAAACAAATAAAAATGAAGTACTGTTTCATGATAACAATTTTATGTTGTTGTGTTATTGCATACAAGGTTTTAATGAAAAATTATTAACTTTACATATTACATTTAAAAGTTAATGTGAGAGATGATTTATGCGGTTACTTTACACAGTACTGGATATGGTATTGGCATGACCCAATGGTAGCTGAGTAGTAGTTTTGAAGTAAAAGTAGCAGAAAATTCTCTTTCTAGCCCTGTGTGGCGTTTTAGTGTTGGTTTACACTTTGCTGTCTTGTGGAATGAGGAAAGTGACAGAAATTAATTCCATCACATGAAATTATTCCCTAATGCAGATGTTAGGGTTGAGATGTAATTTTTCTGTTTGGCATAGGATTATCTCTAAATGTGTGAGTTAACAGTTTTACATATTAAATTCATGATATCGGCATAACTTTAATTTAACAAGGATGTAAATATTTTTTAATCTCAAAATCATAGTGCTTGCTTTTAATAACTTCTACTTCTGACATTTTGAATGGTCTTTAGACACTAATATTTAATCTGGAATCCAAAACAAAAGAATGTTTTCACAAGCAAGAGACAGAGGCAGAAGCAGTACCTGGTGTGTTGTGATGTATATCTGCCCAGCGGCAAGAAGTTACAACAGCAGGTAAAGGACTGCTTCTGTGCAATATCTCTTTTGGTTCCTGGGGTTTTTACCCTATCTAAATATAGGAACCAGTTCCTCTTTTCTGCCTGAAAGGGAAAAAACTGATAACCTCACTTAGTCTTTTAATCACTACTCAGTGCTGAGGGGCAGTCAAGGACTGTGTGGGTGTGTGAGTTTGAGCAACCTACTGGCCTATTTTGAGCCTGGTTAAGGTCATAGGAAGTGCAGCGTGGGCGCCCTGTACATGAAGTTGTGTTTGTCTCTAGTCTGTCTCAGTCTATCAGGTTGTCTTGTAACTTGTACATTACAGATGAAAGGGAGAACAGTGAATAATGGCTGAGGAGCAGAAGATGGATATAAAACAATGGAGTGTCCTTGGTCACCCTTTGGGGAATGCTGTTCAGCGCTTATGAATCACTGTGAACCTTCATTTTTGTGCTGTTCAGTGCCTCAGGAGAACTTGTTTTAAAAGGGAAAAAAATACAAATAAACATTCACTTGGCTTTGGAAGTTATTTGAAACAAAGCTAAACTAAATGTGTAACAGAGAGAAACCAGTCATATCAGTTTCCTAGTGTGTGGTTCAGCTTTGTAAAAGATTGCTTTGTCTCTCTCCAAGGAAGCAGCGAGAGATGCTATTTTTGTGTCTAGTTTAATGTCGACTCCACACAAAGCTATCATATTTTGGTTTTTTCTCTTTTAAAAAGGTTAGCTTTCTTCCAAAACTATGCAGGCTTACCCAGCTGCTACAAGCATAGCTTTAGGAAGTTATGAAAATTTGAAGACGATCTAAATACTGCAGTGATTTTTTTTTTTTTTTCTCTTTCTATAAGAAAGGACAGTCACATGCTTGGTTTAGTTACTGGTATCCATTGTTCAACAAAATTCTGTTCATATGGTTCCAGTTCCTTTTTTTTCCCACTTTTTCTTTTCTTTCTATTTTTAGTGCTGAAACAAAGGATATGTACTTCCTAAAATAGTTGTTATTTCTGAAAACCTTCTTCAGGCATAAGGTTTAATGAAAGAGCCCTGTAGCAGCCTATTGGTTGGGAATTAAAAGTATGGCCATTTTAATGACTTGAATATTTTTCTTCTAATTTTATTGGATCAGAAATCATGAGCTCTAGCTGATATCATGTGAAAAATTGTCCTTCTCTGAAGTTTTTTCAAATCCATAGAGAAGTATTAGTGGGGTTTTCTTTTCCAGATAAATATGGCTTGCAGAAAGCGTTTCACTGAAACAGGTGGAAATGCTGTTGATATTTGCTTGAAGTTGGTATTTCTTGAGCTCTTGATTTATTGATTGAAGATTTAAATTAAATGTAGCAATTTCATCAGCAAGTTTCAACTCCAGAAAACAAGAAAGTGTGTAGAAGGAGAGACAGGACTTTGTTACTGTACTTTTAATTAACTAAAAAGTCTGTAGATTTCTTTTTTTTTTTTTACCACATAGCAAATAAACAAAAGCAAATTCATATACTGAATAAAGATTAGACTTAACAAATCTTTTATCATGTGGAAAATAATGAAAACAAAATGCCAAAATATCCTTTTATTCAAAACAATATGGTCAAACCCTGAAATAATACTTACATCTTTAATATTTTTTTTAGCATCAGCTTTGTGTTTTCTAGCCATCACTTTCTGGTGAGAAAACTTATGCCAGCTTAGTAGATGTTCAGGTAGAGAAGAAATGCAATTTTACAGTTAAGTACAAAGCAATTGAAAGCTGTACATTTAACAGATATCATCATGAGAGGAAAATCACTTCTTTGTATTAACTAAAACAAAAATTTATTCCTTCCAGTATAATTTTTTTGTTGATAATTTCTTCACAGTGATGATTTTGTAAGTTTCCAAAGAGAATTGAGTAAAATGAACAGTCGTATTGCTGTAACGATCTAGTTATTAAATTTATTAGAAATGCCTCTACCCGAATCAAGGTGCAAACAAGATCAGATGCCAAAGTCAATAGTATGAGTTTTATTTAATGGTAAATGTGAGGCTGAGAAAGAGAGATAGAAAGAAATAGGAAAAAGGAGGTGGAGAAAGAAAAAAACTGACAGAGAGAGATTAAAATAGAAAAAGTGTCACCAATGTGGAACCTGGCAGCATCTCATTGGTCCAGTTCTTCTGCTTTTCTTGGTGATGAAGGTCGTGAAAAACAGCCTCCAATGGATTAATATGTGTTCAGGAGATGCCCAGGCACCTCCCCTGGGGAGTCTTTTGGGACAGGCTCTGGATTTGTTGCCTCACTTGGCTCATGTGCAGTCCTCTGGTGATAGAAAAGGCCTCAGGAGTAGTTGGGGCATGACTTTGGGGGTCTTTAGTGGTTTGTGACCCCTTCTCAGCTGCCTTTCATGTGAGTGTTCCATGTGTACGTGGTCTTCCCAGAGCAAGGGGGTTTACTGCTTTGGTTTGGTGTGGAGAGATTCCACCATCACACACCCAAAATTCTTCTCCACCACCCCCTGAGCCCAGCTAGGGCTGATTCTTAACACAAATGCATTCTTTTTTCCTGAGCCTGATTTACTTCTCCTCAGACTTGAGATGATTAGACAGCAGTCTTAAGTCCTCAGTCACAGTCCAAATTTCGGTCAGGAGACATTGGGAGGGGAGGCTGCCTCGGTGGTCGCAGACAGGCAGTTGCTTCTTTGCGGTTTGACAAAAAGTCTTTCTAGGATTTTGACGATGTTCAAGACATTACCAGCATTTCAGTCTATCGTAGTTGTGATGATACTTTAGCTGAGAACCTTTGACTGTTGCCTAGAGTGCAGTAGAAATATATTCAACACTCCATAATGCTTTAAATTGCTGCCTTCCTGTACAGTAAGACTACCTAGTAGATCTGCTGTCTCTCTGTTTATTTTAGTAGTTGTTTTAAGGGTCGTTAAGGGCTGGGTTTTTTAGCTGGTACAGAAACCCACTTCGTTCTGTTCCTTCCTGTGCTGCAAAAAGTTATTTGAGGATTTTCTGTCATTTCCCCACCCACCCACATCAGCCAGTTGATTGTAGTTCAGTTACAGTGGATGGACAGAAAGCAAAAGCTGACCTGTCCAGAATGGGAGATAAAAGGGAATACCCTATGCTCAGATGTGGAAGCCAGTTGGCAGCAGCTGCATTAAATTCTTTTCTCAGTACTTCAGAGAAAAAAAAATTCCTATGAAAAATCAAGTGTGTTAAAAAGCAGAAAGCTTAAGGAGTGATAAGTAAATATGACTGAGGTTACAACACACTTCTGGTACATTTTATCCTAGAAGATCTCTAAGGACAGTTGAATAACCTATCTGTCTTATCTTTAAATATAATCAGTATAGATGACCCTTAGACCATGCCTTGAAAATTACAGTCCTTTACAAAAATACTATTACTAGAATTAAATATACTGCCAGCTGTTCATCACTCCATACTACAGCATAAGACCAGGAGACAAGAAAGTAAGTTTTAATAAATGTTTACAGTTGCTGTCTTGAAACCTCAATCATCTTTTCCTTTTGCTTACTTACAGAATGTATATGCTTTATTCACACACATCTTTTCTGTTCCATAAAAGCAAATCAGATTTTTCAGGGCAAAACTGCTGTATGAACAGTGGGGAAAAAAAGTAATATTTCCATATTTGTAATCTCCTCTTTTGTTTTCTCTTACAATACTGGTTACTGTAAAAGCTTGATAACTGGTGGATTACAAACAAAAAAAAAAAAGAAACAAGACTGTTGGTTTTGGCAGTATATTTTTGTAAACAAGTGACCTAAATTGAAGCAGAAATTCTAACGGGAAAAAGACAGAGAACCAGAAGACTTTAGAATACAGCACAGAGCAGAGTCCCCACCAGATGGTATTTTTAATAAATTTATCAAGCGGATATAAAAGATGATAATGAACATTCAAAATAGGGAGTGGCAGACCCCCTAGAGAAAAGAAACAGTATGGCACATTCTGCACTCTTCAATTAGTTAGAGTCACTTTCTAATTAGCTGATGTAGGGAAGACCACAGAATTATATTAAAAACACACCAAGACAATTTCTGTGTGGTTGTTAAGGAGTTTGACTAATCAGGGAAACATCTTCGTAGGAGGTCATGGATTAGTGCAGAAATCTAGATGTGAGAAGGAGCGGGATGATGCTCGGAGGGCATGCAGGCAAAATACTGGATGAACTGAGCTGCACTGCATTCAGTCAATGCCTTACATAGCTTGGAATATGCCATGGAGCTTCAATATGAACATTGATTTTGACACTTTATCTTTGACTCATTTTTTTTTAATCAAGATTTTAATAGCTTCCTCTTCCTACAAAAAGCAGCCATACGTAGAAGATGCTTTAAAGCCTGTATAAAATGGATACTCAAAGAAGTACCCTTACTCCCAGAGAGGAGGGGAAGAAAAGGAAGTCAGGGCAAACTTTATTTCGATGCCAGTACTTTTAGTTTGCATTGTTAGTTTTTGTTTTATTCAGATTGTTCCCAGTGAAGTACTTCTAATGTCTACCACCTGCTCCCAACAAGAATCTGAGAATTGTTGAATGCCTCTTTTCAGTAATTGAGGAATCAAGAGATTTGTGGAATAATAACGTGGTGGATTTAGTAATTTTTTTATGAGCAAACAGAGGTGGTAGTACATTTGATAGCACAGTAGATTTTTCAGAAATGGTTGCTTTTCCACTGCCTTGGATTATTACTTGGCAACAAGCTTGCTTTTTTCCCCCAGGGTGTGTTTTACAATGTTTTGGTTGGTTGGTGGTTGTCCTAAGATTATGCTCCTGATACCAGTAGGGCCCTTAAAACACGGAATCCCAGCTCTTTGTGGAAAATTATCTCTTTTTTGCCTGCTGGAGACTCATACAATAGCTCTGAAATTTCACATAGCTGTGTTTCAGCCATTTTCAGATGTAGTAGTACTCTAAATACATATTTTACAGGCAGCTATTAAAAGTATGTGATTAAGTTATCTGTGTACAGCAGGCTTAAAATGGTGCAGATTGTTTGTCCTTTATCAGAGGTTGACACGCAAAATCTCAGATTGTTTTTTAATGCAACCTGTGCTGAAAGAATTCTTGTTATCATTGTATGAACAATCAGAGCTTCTAACATTTTCCCTCCAAAAAACAAGGGCTCAGCAAGCAACCTTGATTTTCACATGTTCAGAGAGCATATTTTTCAGTCTTGTTAATTTTAATTTTTTGATTGAGAGAGGGAACAGAGAGAGTTTTAGAAGCTGAGGAGGTTAGCTAGAAACTGAGCTTTTTAGGAAACTGCTGGACCTGATTGGGGCATGTAGGTTGGGGCATAAACCCAATGGCTTTGGGGGTTTTATGTTATCTGTCATCTTGCTGGAAGGGGACATTCAAAAAGCTTAGGATTCTCTCTAAGTTACAACTGGAAAGTGCCATACTTGATCAAATGTTAACAAAGGGAAATAATACGTAATTCGAAAAACAAGTGTTGAAGCACTTATAAAACAGGGCTGGAAGAATACAGCCCAGATCAGCACTTTAAATTATCTCCCAGTTTTTGTTTTGTCTCTGTTCATTTTTTCTTTTGGGGGTAGAGAGGGAAGTTTCATCATGAAAACAGGAAGAAATTGTTTTAAAGTTTCTGAAGTTTTACTGGACAAGATATTTTTTCCCAATTGTATTAAAAGAGTACTTTCATATTACCAAGACTGAAATCCATCTGTTAATTTACCAAGCTATTCTGGGATCAATGCTGTAAAAACTAGCTGTATCACTTGTTCATAGTTCACATTATATGAGTTAAATTTCCTTCTGTTGATCACACTTTGAATTTTCTTTTTTTTAACCAATCCTTTCCCATCAATAAAGTCCACTGGTATCTGAACTGTTTTCTGACTGTGTGTCTGTCGTCTTTATGTTTTTAATTCACAGTTCCTACTGAAAATGTTGCAACAATTGCAGACTGTGCCAGTGTGATTGAGGGTGTAAGTCGCAGTCGCAATGCCTTATTGAATGGAGACACAAAAAACTATGATTGGGATTCTGGATACACATGCCATCAGCTTGGGAGCGGAGCTATTGTAGTACAGCTAGCACAGCCCTACATGATTGGATCAATACGGTAAGAAGGTTTATTTTTCTCTAAATTAAAGGCCGCAGTGAAACTCTCGCTGAGCAGTTATTGTCTTTAGAATATATGACATTTGGAAACATCTTTAATTAGGGGACTAGTTTAGTAGTTGGGATTTGGCTTCTTACTTCAGTATAGTAGGCGTGTTAAAAATTAATGTGTGAATTATTTGTTGAGATACAGCAGTGCGATTTCTGAAAATGTTGCATTACAGAGGCATAATAATAGTAACAGTCAAATTGTAAGATTAAAGTTATATACTTATTTTAAAATAGAATTTAATTGCAGTCTCACTTTTGGTTAAGTAGGTGAAATTCCTCTTATCCACTTCATTGTGAAAATGATTTTATTGAACAAAATCATCACCTCCAGTCAACCAGATTTCCTTTTCACTACACAATTAGTGCTAGTTCTTACTTGAACATGAAGAGTATAATAAAGGTACAGTAACCTGAATATTCCTTTACGGTGCTGGATTAATGTGTGTGTTTGGATTCGGATTGAAGTTCATTGGGCTCTTTCTACAGTAAATGTCTCTATACATATGAAGATCAAAGTGTTGGCTAACGTAGAGACTTAGGAAATAGATTGGAGAGTGGGATTTTTCACAGGTGAAGACAAAAATAATCTTGCAAACTTCAGATTCTCTGACCATGAGTGTTTGGGGTTCTTGTTTCATAAAATCAGGCCTTGTCTTTATGGCATCATGTTCTTTGTAAATTTAGAATATGTAATCAGGGATGTAATTTGTATGCTCTGTGGCAATGAAATAAAGAGAAAGATTTCTAAGTTCAGTGTATTAGTGAGCAAAGGTTGAAACCCCAGGTAAGTATGGCTTGCAACAGAGATCATGTACATAGGTACATATTTCTAGGAGCTCAGTGCAGTCCACCTGTTAGAGCTGCCTCTTCAAAATGACTGATGAGCGAAGTGAGACTTGAAGGCTCTTTTGTAACTTTATAATTTCTGTTTTGTGTGGTTTGGGTTTGGCCTGTGGCATTGTTGTGATGGATGTAAAACTTCATCTTCAAAGTTTAAACTCGGACATCTGGGCAAATCCGTTACCTAACAGAAGTAGTATTTTGTCTGTGTGCCAGCTGTAGATGTTATGCATAATCCAAGTTTGGCTTTGTTCTTGCTGAAACAAGTTGAATAAGTGTATTTGGTAACTTTCCACACTCAGTGTTTTATGCCTTTTAGTTTGATGTTTTTAGCGTTCAATTAAGTATTGCATCTCAAGTAGAAAACAAGGAAAATGCAGCACTAAGATTTCTTAAAATAGATAAATGAAATGTAATTACATCATTTTCCTGCCACTTTAAACTTAAATAGCAGCAAAGACCTTGACCACATGAAGGAGTAAGACAAGAAAATAGTAATCAATATTCATAGTTTCTCAGTTCATAATCTGTCTTCCTATCTTACTGTTATCTGCTACATTTCAGTTGGTGAAAAGTATCATATTTTCCAGTCAGTGAAAAACCTGACTTTCCTATATTCAATAGTGTTTATTCTTGAGGGAAGATTTTTAGTAAGTCTTATTATTAAATAGTGAGTTGGGTGAACTAGACTTTTGGTTGCCAAGAAATAATAATTATATTATCAGCAAGAATGTAGAGCAAATTAAAAAAAATAACCCAAACATTACATAATTTAAAACTAATAGGCATTTAGTGATTTATGTGGTATTGGATTGTACAGCTACAAGGTCAGAATATCGTCTTTCTCTGTCAGTTTTTCTGCATGTATAGTAAAAACCAGATGAATAGCTTACTTTAGGAAAACAACAATGTTATCGTATGAGATATCTTTTGACAGAGGAGGCTACCTGCATTGCCTAGAGACAGAACTCTGCCTGTGGGTTTGGATTCTAAATGAATAATTAGGAATTAAAATACATATCTTTTTAGTTCAGAAACACAAATTTTCCATTGAATATATTTGTTTCAGAGAGGGTAAATACATGAGCCTTTGAAAACAGTGGTGTCTGCTTTTAGTCTGTAGAAATCAGAATACCGCTGGTGAGAGGCTCCAAGACAGAATGTGTTACCATGGCAACTAAATTCTGAGAATGAAAAAACAGAAGTACTCTTGGTACTCAAATATGCCTTAGAAATGTACAGAGAGTTTAATGTTTCAAGAGTATATATTTGTGTGCATACTTTCTGCCAAAGTCATTCCTTGTCCTGAAATCTTAGCATCCTTCATGTTGGAAGGGACTTGAGGGAGAAGACATCTAGCCCAGCTTGTTTCGCAAAGGGTTGTCATCTATGAAAAAAGAACATACCACTCAGGGCTTTATGCACTCAGCTCTTGAAAACCTCCAAGGAAGGAGATTCCACAACTTCTCTGGGTAGCCCATGATAACCTGCTCTTAGGTTAGTGGTAGTATTGGCAAGCACTGTTAGGTTCCTTCCCAACCCTAGGCCTCCTTGGGCTAAACAAGCCAATTTCCGCATCCTCTTGCACAGTGTGTGTGCTCTGACCTCATGGCCATTCTGATGGTCCTCTGCTGGAATTGTTCATATCTACCACTTAATGGGATCCAGTATGCCAGGTATGATCTAACAGGTGCCGAGTAGAGAAGAATCATCTCTTTCCGTTGTTCAGCTGGCTCAGTTCCTGTTACTGCAGCTCCACCATGCTTCGTGGCTGAGAAGGCACATGGGCAACTAATGGTATCTTCTGTTCAATTTGACTCAGGAATGCTGTGGGAGACCATGGGGAAAGTTTGTTAGTATTTAATGCTTCTACAGGTATTTGTATAAAAATTTGGAGCTCTTGACTTACATTTCAGAATTTCTGAGTAAATTTTGATAAGATGTAATGACAGTCAGTGCTCAATTGTATTTTGTAATAGAGAAGACCTGGAAAACACAGAGGTTGAACTAGATGACCTTTAAAAGTCCCTTTCAACCCAAACTGTTCTATGATTATGTGGTGTTTTTTTTTTTTTTAAATGATTGTAACTAAATATTGTCTTTTAGATTACAAAATTTAAAAAAAATAAGATTTTTTTTATTATTATTATTAATACTCGGAACAGCTTACAAGATATTTGCAACAGTTAACAGAGAAAATTCTAGGTTAGATAGTTTTCCCACGTAGTTGCCTGTCTGGACACAAAATAACATTCTTCTTTTCTTCTCTGAAAAGGCCCTTCCTTACAAATGACAGAAAAAGTGTTTAATTAGGAAGAAAAAGACAGCGATTGTTGTGTGCAACATACTTAATGTATTTTAACTAAGGCTAAAACTTTTTAATATTGAAATAGCTGTCATATCACAATAACTCTCTAACTCTCCCTGCATTTTTCTGGAATAGAAATATAATACTATTACACTATGGTCTTTGCCTGATTTTTCCTATGAATTTAAAAAAAAAAAAAGAAAGAAAACAAAAAAAATAAAATGGGATCTGTTATAGTGTGTAGGGAGACAGAATTATTCTGTAACAGTGATTTTAAAGTTAGAATAAATGGAAATATTTTGCGTCTTTAGGAACGTACATTAACCATTTATTCAAGTTTAATTTATTTGAAGAATTTATTGTTAATATGAATACATGATAACTTTTCATATTCAAAGTAATTCTTAAATTAACAAACAATATCAATGAAGTTTTGCTTGTACCATCATAATATACATCTTTTACACTTTCTGATTTTCCATACCACTTCTGCTTAGGTAGCTTTTCTTTCTTTGCTGCTTGTTTTCTGTGCTTGTCTGACTTAAAAGTGGAATCATAACTCAGAATGAATGATCATAAAAACACTTAGCAAATGTGCAGGAATTTTGTCTCCTTTGTAAAATCCCAAAGAACTGGTTTCTTGCAGGATAACTACTGAAACATAAGTATCTGCACAAAACTGAAGAGGTTTATAGACATCCAGAGGCAAAAATGTCACAAATATTGTATAAAAAACCTCCTCCCATGCTGTTTTAGGTTTTCTTTTTCTTCATCTTTCTAGAAGTGTCACTACATCATGTTTTCATTTCTGTCTTTTGGGTTTTTAAGGTATGCAAGTGGTTTATGAACACAGTATGATCAAATATTTATGCCATATATTTAAATAGTGACTTAATAGTATTCAGGAAACAGGTGTCGTCCTGTCAGATACACAACTAATAGTGTTTGGTATTATGCCAACACCTTGAGTACCTGAAGTCATACAGCAGTCTGAACTGAGCAGTGACGATCTTTTTTTACAGAAATCTAGGAATAAAAAGCAAGCAGAGACAGCACAAAATGCTTGTAGAAACACAGAACATTCAATCATAGACCAACACATGCCATTCAGGGATATACTGTTTTAAAAAGGGCTGCAGCATCTTTTTATGTAACAGGTAGCCAATATAATCAGTTTCCCACACCTGTAATATGAAGTTTTATTTATATTTTTAAAGCTTTTGTTTTATAAAGTGATGGATTGTCAACATGTGATGTAAATAATGATGTCATATTAAGTTACAGGCCTAGACTCTAGATACCCAAAGAAGAAATGTGTTTAAATCTCACAGTGTTGCAGGGTGTAAGCTGGGTAAATCTTCATTTGACTTTTCCTTCTTAATCCCGAGGGCAAGATTTACTAATGAGCTAATTTAGCTTTTTCTTCTAATATGGAAAGTCCTAAGAACATGAGCAATTTTTCTATAAACAGATGCATTTCCGATGGGTATAGTTCTGACTTTTTGACTGGGGTATTCTTCTTCCTGTCATTTAATATCCATCTTAGAAAAACATAGCTTTTCTACAAACGTTTAGCTTGGTAATTTGCCTGGAACATACTGCAAAGATTATTGTACCTGGCATAAAAGTGGCCTTTGTGCTCAGTGTGCACTGGTGAATATTCATGTTGTCAACTGAAAGGTTTTCACTGCTTGTATAGAAAGGCTTTCAAACAGAGTAAATTCCAAATAGGTTCTATTGTCAGACTCCCTCCCCAGTCTTTCCTAAGAAAGCTACTGGAGAAGAAATAACTTTTAATTTTCTTTCAGAAGTACCAAAGAAACAAAAATCTACATTTAGCATTCATGCCAAGTCACTTTGGGAAAGATTCCTCCAACTGCAATTACTCATTGTTTGGTTTGTAATAATTCTAAGCCATATGCTTTTCTAAACATATTTAACTTGGGCTAGGTTGTTTCAGTAGAGAGAAATTCAGTAGAGAGAAATTGTAAATGTCCTGTTAGCCTTTTGCTCTGAAGCCAAGCCAGTTGTGGTTTAATTAGAGTATTGTTAGTTGAAATTACAGTCAACCAGTGTGCTTCTGATATTCAAACTCTTGATCATAGCTTTGAAAAACATGGATCAAGGAAACAACACTGAGTCCCCATGATAAAAGGATTCTATTGAAAAGCATAATTAGCTACATTTTAATAGACTTTTTGAAAGAAAGCAAATTTATGACTGTTTTTACTTTTCCCTCTTTTTATCATTTAGAAGACTTGGTTTAAATATAAATGTTAAATCAATTCAGGACATGTTGATTAGTAGTAGTTACCAAATACAGGATTGAAATCAGTAAACCGTTTTTAAAAGAAAATAAGCTTCTTTCAGTGTCTTCAGTATTTGGAGACCTTCAAGCCACAGAAAAGCAGAATGGGGATGATTTGATGAAGGAGCAGGGTTGAAGTTGGGTGGTTTTGTTGTGGGGTATGGGATTTTATTTAGGTCTTTCATGGTGCCACAGGCAACTATTTTTATTTTTACTCAGTCAGGTCTGAATCTTTTAATCTGCAAACAGACAGTATTAATATGTGCTAAAACACTTGTGTTAAAAGTGTTTTATTTCAGCTTCTTAAAGCTGCTTTTGATAGAATATTATTTTTGATAATATTAATGAGCTAGATTCAACATCAAGGGAATTTATTTTGAATAATTACTTGTCCACTAGACCTAATTCCACTTTGAATGCTGGGATTTCAAAACCTTAAAAAAAAAGTGCTGAACTAAATTGTTTATCTCTGTGCTTGGCACTGGTGAGGCTGCACCTCAAGGACTATGTCCAGTTCTGGGCCAAATATCTCTTACAACGGGGCAATATACCCCATATAAAGAAAAGTAAAGAAGATACATTTCCCAGATGTATGTTTTGGTACTTAAACTAAATAACATCCCTGATGCTTTAGGTCTTCCTCTCTGTAAGACAAGTATGGAAATCAAAGGCTATTAAATATGTTATTTAGTGCCCTTCCTAAAGAGCTGCATGTTTGTTAGAATAAATATGGAATGAGCCCCTTAAGACCTTTATGGTCTTCCTTTTTTCTTCTGCCTTTGTAGGAATTTGTTTAACAATTCGTTGCCTTTTTTGTCATATTCTGATGAACCAGGACTGGGAATTCCCATTTCCATACTCATTTTTTAGTTTTGTTTTGTGTGGTTTTTTGTTAAATGTATTTATGATATATTTACCAAAACCAAGAGAATGCAGTTAAGAAGACAGCTTAATCCTTTTAAATCACCCGATTCTTTTTTTCTATTCCCTCCTAAGCTGACCTGTTGAGACAGATCTTCATTTTGTGTTTAAAGCAGGCAATGCCACATGCCAAATAAATTGAAAGTAATTTGTTGAATGTAATAATAGATTAATGTTCTTAAGATGGTTATTATAAGCCTGTAAGTCTATTACTGGCCTTAGGCTAATAAGAATAGAGACACAGTAGTTTGAGATGGCAGAAACAGTAAAGACTTCCTTGAGTGCTAGAGGTACATTCCAAAAGAAATAGTTACATTTATAAAGGATTAAGTGGAGAAAATAAAGGACTGGAAAGCTTCTTTACTTATCATTCAACAACTTGTTCATACTTAGGTTGCTACTTTGGGACTGTGATGATCGGAGTTACAGCTACTACATTGAGGTTTCAACGAATCAGCAGCAGTGGACTATGGTGGTGGATCGCACAAAAATTTCCTGCAAGTGAGTTCAGTTTTTTTCCACTTATTTGCACAAAGTAAGAACTGAAAACTGGGTTTTCTGGTGGGTTTTTTGTTCAGTACTTATATAGGTTACTGTGAAAAGAATGATCATTACATAACCTGTAGATTAATACAGCTTTAGAGGGTAACATCTTCTAGTATAACTGAACATCTAGACTTTCAGACCAGAATCAATTTCTTAAGAACCACATCAGTACTGGATCTTCAGATTATCAATTGGATTGTTCATTCTTAGAAACAGTCTGCCTACCCTACCCTTGATTTTGTGATCACTGGAAGTTAAACCGTGTTTTTCTGTAGATCTCATGTTTATGGTGACCCCTGGCGTCAAATCACCCTGCCTTGGGAAAGGTGGAAAGAGAGGGAAGAGAGTATATTTGGTAAAGGATTTTGTTAATCGAGTGTCTTTCTCCCCTGTCAAAGCACATAAATGTATTGTATGGTATTTGAAGGGAGTGGGGAGAGTGAGGGCAGGGACGAAAGCATAACAGGCCAAACAGTTACCAAAGCTTGACCTTGTCTCTGTTCAAAAGCAGAGTACCTGACTTATGCGTTGACCACTCTGCTTTTGAAAAGGACCCTTCCATAAAACAAACACGCTTCTTAAACAGAGAGAAAGAAGAGAGAAAAACTGTTTCATTTTCGTTTGAATATTTAAATCAGGACAAATCAGGCATGAGTATTCTCCACATGCATACTCTCTACTGGCTTTTCTACAATTTCTGCTGATGAAACCTATTCTTCTAATATGGATGAATAATTTAGTGTTGGTAGCCTTCTTAAACCATGTGATCATAGTTACAATTCCTAGCAAAGAATGACCTATATACTGGTCATGGGACTGAAAAGCCAGTCTGAAAATTTATACATTATGTATCCAGAAGCCAGGTATGCTCAGCATTCAGTGAATATCGACAGGACATGATTTCCTGTCTAAGCCCCAGGGAAGCTCAGAATTATAAAAGCCTTATTTTCCTCCTTTTCCCCGAGTAAGTTTTCTATAAGATATGCTTTCTTTCTTGGGACAAAATTGAAGTAATCACCCCCACCCATCTTGTATTTGTGCCAACCAAAACAAAATTGATTTTACAAATTCAGAGATGTATCTCAGTTTGTCACATTGAGCGAGAGAATTATTCAGTCCTTTGTAGCAACGCTGCTGACACACGTTTTTTTAAAGTTTATATTCCCTCTCTTAACAAACAGTGCGACTCAAATGCTTTACAATGTGCTCTAGGCACGTTGGTGAAGGAGAACTTGACACGTCCTTTCACTGTCTGTAAAGGGCAGGGTATTGATGAGCAGAAAACCTGTGTTCTGCCTGCAGGTCTGGAGAAGGACTAAAGATTTAATCATTCTCAAAGACATCTCAGCGTAATAGATAAAATTCATCTTTTTGTCCGCCTCCAGCAGTGGGAGAACTAAAAGGCTGAAACCACAAAGGAGAGAGACACTCAAGCATCTTTGTGCATTTTTTCCTTGAACATTTTGATACTAAAAGCCTGTAACAATCAAAAGAAGCACTTGCTTAAGTATGCACAGTGCAGGTGAAATAGCTGATTGACTGCCCAGTTCAAATATCTTCACACAGTGTTCAAACCACACTTTTTTGTTTGTTTTTTTTTTTTTTAAAAGCCTTGACCTTGGGCTAAGAGAGATGCATACCTGAAGTAAAGACAGCTGCCTTCTTGGGATATACTTCAAAATCTCGATTCAAACCATAGGTGCTCTGGAAGTTCTCAAAGCTGTGGCTGCAGGAACCATTTTCATGTGGATTAGAGAATTGCATTTTGCCTAACTTCTTACTCTGACAGATACGTGTTCAGCTGGCATAAAGCCAGTCTATAATCTTGTGAAGTTTGCAGACACAGTGTCCTAGCACTGTCCGTAACTATCTCCTCTAAATAAATACAAAGGCTGGTCAAAGGCTGGTCATAAAGCTTGCAGAGTTCACTGCATGCCAATTTTCAGGTGATTTCTTTGCATTTGACAGTGCTTTTTCATGTTCAGTTTATATCTCTTGCCCTTTATGATCAGAGAAATGGACTTTTTTTTTTTTTTTTACAATCACATAAAACTTAATATGCGTTATTTTATTTTCAGGTATTATTTGCAGAAATGCTGAAATTACTCAAAAAATTACTTTTATGGTAATGGCAGATGGATAACTCTAAATAAGTATATCATAAAGAAAAATAAATGTTTAATATCTATAAGGTCAGTCAGAGCTGGACCATCATTTTTTCACTGAAAAATACTGAAATACAGTACTATGACCTAGAAAGCCATACTCTTAGTGCTTTAAAACAGTTGAATGTAGAATGAAAGAAAAGTCACCCTTCAATGACTCATGCACTGAATTAAGGTCCTCACTTAAAATTAAGGTAAGCTTTCAATGTGGTAATAGAGACATCTTAATGAAGAGGAAAAAAATGGAACCACTCACTGCTAGGAATATCTGAAGAAGTGACTTTTTGGGTTAGTTTCTGTAATTTAAAAAAAAAATCTCAAATTGAAAACTTGAGGGTTTTTCCCATGAAAACAAACAAGTTATTTTCATTTTATATAATTTTAACAGCAGCAACAAGCAGAGGAGATAGTTGGATTTTAACCAAAATTAACAGATGCTAGTAAGGTGGAGGTGGTACAGTTTTTTCTGGTTTACTGTCATAGTTTAAGGATGAAGATACTCCTGTTGGATGCGAGGGATTTCATGGTTTTTTTCTATGTGTTCTTTCTCTTAGCACTATTACACTGGTATGTTATGCAAACAGCACAGCTCAAGAGAAATCTGCCTCTGAATGTCTTTTAGTCGAGTGATTCACAGACTTCCCAAAGAAAAGCAGGGATCAAACTCAAGCCGTGTGCCTGGGTTTGACTCACTGTCAGGTTTAGGCAAACAATTAAAGATAGCTGCATTCAGTAATCTTCTTTAACCAGACTAGAGCATAAAGGGGTAGAAACCAGAGTACACTCATCTCTTTCTGCGTTGTATGTTTCTGAATGCTGCACCCGTCTCTCACCTGGATGAAACAGAACATACCTTTTGCTGATGTGGTTCAATTTTGCAACTGTTTTTTGACTCAGCCAAATCCTGATTTTTTTTTTGATTAATACTTTGACACACCATCCCAAAAAGGACTAATCTTGTATTAGAAATTATCTTCACTTAGACAAGAAGTAGATATGTCCTTCCATGGGACTATGATTGCCGGTTTGACAAGTGCCTCTGTGAGCAACAGTCAACTAAGAATCATTATACATGTATTCATGTCAGGCTAAAATATGAATTCTTTCTAAAAACTATGCTCCAAATTACATCTGATTCTCTACCAAGTTCTGGAGATGTGAGTGCAACCTAAGTGGTTGATAAGACCTTAAAATCCTGAGTTTACCCTAACATTAGTTCTGTGCTTAATATGCTGCAGTACACTGCAGAAAAATAACTCACTTTTCAGTATAGGAAATGAAAGTTGATGGAGTTAAAACACAGGAGAATATCACAGGAGCTCACGTTTAAAGAGACAAAATGTTTTCACGATGAGAAAATTTACATTACTAGTAACATTCTCTATTTGCTTTCCTGTCTTCAAAGATGTATGGGTAAGAGGTGTTTCCTTTGCTGGCTTTCAGTCTGCCTGGTCTTGCAGTGGAGTTACAGACTTTCATAAGAGTCATTAGCCCACTGTCTTGCAAGTGTCCTGTGAGGTTTCCAAATAATTTTGCTCAATCTCCGGCACAAGCAGTAGGATGAACCATAAGGGTACCAAACACAAACCTCAACAGACACCTTAAGGGATGAGGAAGTGGCAAACAAAACAATGAGAAAGAAAATTAAATTATGTTTAAACAGCATATATTGGTTTTGGCAGATTACTGAAGCATGAACTTCCCCTTTAAACTATCAGTGTGCTGCTTTGGGTTGTTTTAATGGCATTTTTAATGTCGTCTTTTGTGTAAATTAATAATTCAGTGCTCAAAGGCAGGAACTGACAGGCTACTCCTAACCTTCTCTTCCCAGTTTTAAAAGGCTGAAGACAGAAACTGGATGTCTGTTATCTTCACAGGGGAAGCTTGTGTACCTTCCCTAAGTGAGAGCCAATTAATGCATACTGGTTGTGTAATTGACAATTTTCAGATGCTCTGTGGAGGCTGGTTTTTTTTTTTCTTTTCTGCAATAAGCTGTTTCTCTCTACACAGTATGACAGTAATGAAAAACAGTCGTGTTCCCTTCTATTTTTAAAAACATTTATTATAAGTGGACTCGAGCATGTTAGTGTTGAACAACAGAGACTTGAACTTGTTAGAAGGATTTGCTGACAGAGTCTGAAAGTCAAATGAAAAACAGAAGATACCAAAGGCCAGTAGGAGAGTCAGACCTCAGAGTTAATGACACTTCTGATAAAATAAACCCTGCAAAGACAAATACAAAGCAGGCTGTCACAATGCTCATCAACTCAGTATCATTCTTTAAAGTTCTCCTGTGTAGTTATTGTGAAATGGATCTAATCCATTGGCAGCAGGCATACCGTGTTCAATTCCCCAGTAGGAAAAAAGGATCTAATACTCTGATAGAATTTGGAAAACAATGAATATTATTTATGGATCAACAGTTATAAGGCAGTTTGTATCACCTGTCTGTATGACTGGTTTGGGAGTTTATGATTTTCTTCTGGGCATTACCTCGTTTTTGGAAGGTTTATAACATACAGCATTATATATTGTTTGAAATTTTATGTTATTCAGGATATATTGCTGTTATGATAAATGTTTAAAAACTTCCAAACTTAATTTCATGTTTCCATTGTTTGTTATCTTATATAACAGCTATTTCAAATTCTGAATCTAAGCTCAATTCTGAGAATTTTCTTCTGTAGTACTTCTGCTTTAAACAAGTAGTACTTCTGTAGTACTTCTGCTTTGAAGTGTGTGAATACCTTTCCTCATAACTGCATGTGGCACATTACTTACATTTGTAGC